TCAGTTATCTATTGAAAATGTCAAAACTACCCTTCAAAAGAAGACAATGTTCATTGTCTTCTACGTTGAGATTGAACCAGTTAAGGTGTTTGAGATTCTAGACTAATGAAGTCATTGTCTTCTACCTTTAGATCTGAAACACATTCTTGTCTAGTTATTTCTTTGCTTTTAGTTATTGTTACCATTTATCATATTTCATATTTTTTCTGTCTTTTTCTTTGAAGATAATTGGTTTACTCTCAAGGTAGAAGACAATGAGCAGTGTCTTCTTTTGAATGGTAGTTTTGACATTTTCAATATATAACTGACGGTTAGTTAATGGTAGGGACCAACTTGACACATTTTGAGAGTTTAGATACTGCAGTGACACGTTTGAAAGTTAATGGTATTAACTTGACACTACCACCAAAGTTCAGGGTACTAAAGTGGAATTTTCCTTTATTTTATAGAGTTGTTCTAATTAACAAATGCTTAAGATAACTCCTATAATTAACAAATTAAGAGAAAATGATGCCAATTATATCATTGTAAGCGACAAGAAAATGGCTCACTTGCCACTTGGGCTAGATTTGGAGTCACCACCCATTAATTTAAGAAATAGAGGTGATGGGACCTCCGGGAATAATTTTCAAAAATGTTTTCATTTTAGTAATGACTCCAAAGCCCGTGGCACTGGCTAACCAGTCAAGGTAAGACTCAGATGGGAGAGGGAAGGGGTTAAGCACCCTTCTCCCAGGTCCAATAGGTGGGGTCAACATGGAATTCTAATAGTAAACAACAATATTAAAGACAATCCTAAATTATATTATTCAATAGCAAAACTAAAACAATAAGATCATGTTGTTTATTCAACATCTAGCTACTAAGATTTCTGCTCAAAGGAAAGATAAGCATATTGTTTATGTCAAGAAAAAGTAAAATAAAATACAATAAAACAAAATAAAATGAAACACGCTAAGCAGTAGTGAATGGATCGAACTTGTGAATTAGAATGAAAGATAAATCAAACCAGATTTAATAAATCTTTTAATATCATCAAACCAAATGGAACTAAATATTAAGACACCACTATCAGTCCATTGATTTGAAAGATTTGGCCAAATACAACAAAGAAAACATGAACAAAATAGAGATTTTCAAGAAAACGGGAATAAGAAATTTACTGCACAACCATATTAGAGACAAAAGCCCGAGCAGTAAAAGAAAATAAATGACCGGACAGAGGTCTCCCATCCAAGGTTCTGTGGAGAAAGACCTTGTACAGTCGAGAGTGCATGCTTTGCAATCAAATAGAAAAAGAGAAAGAAAACAAAGAAATAGAGGAGAAGACACATTTCGCCATGTTATAACTTAATCTCTAGAACAATCAGATGAAGAAGAAGAGTAAAACAAAATCACAACTACATTCCTATTGGTATTAATCTCAAATAAGAATGACAAAATAGTGATAGGAGCCGATAGTGAACTTAATGTCAGATTGGGTTGAAGAATGGATCTATGGGGGTGAACTTGATGGAACCTATTCCATCAATTTATTCTCCAACCTCTAACTATCACTGTAAAAAAAGAAGAAAGAGAGTTTCAGTCAGGTTACCTAAGTAATATCCTGGCCGTCGATTCGATGCTGTAAACGGGTGAATTGAACGCACTTCGTAGGTGAAAATCAGAGGGGGTGAACGAGTCCCTCCTGGTGTAGATGTGCTTTAACGATTGCTGAGGCTGGCTGGACTCATATGAAGCTCGTGGAATAGGGGAAGCCTCAATTCATTGTAGAAAGCTGAAAAAAAAAGGAGATGACGCAGATGAAGCAAGATAGAGGTGATGGCATTGGAGATGAGTTCTTCACAAATCTCGTGGAAGTTGAGATTGATTGTTGGGAAAAGGGAAAAAAAATCTCACTTCTGTTTAACAGAGACGATGATGAACAATGGTGGGAAGCTTCAGGTTTAGGGAAGAAGAAGAAGAAGAGAGAAATAAAAAAAAAAGAGAGAATCGAGAGGGAGTTCTGATATACGGGAGAAAACAAAGCCACTGCCGCCTCTGGTGGTTTGATTAAAAGCTCACCTGTCACAAATCTCCATCATCTACACCTTATTTGACCAATCAGATCCCACCATAGTGTTCAGATCCCCAAAAAACCCCACCATGTCAAATTTCACAACCCAATACCTCCATTTGACCGTTGAAAAAGTAAGATTCCAATTCAGACCCTTTCGTTGATTGAAAAACCATAAGCTATGACCATGATTTGAACTAAATCAGTTAACCTACACCTCTAATCAAAGATCCATCACTTCCATCTGATTCAAGATGTTCAAAAATGCCTATCAACCAAATTTCATCCCAAAATTCCGTCGTTTGACCCTTGATCAAACAAAGATTCTATTTCAGCAAATCTTATTGATCCGAACTTGTCAGCCACAGATCTCAATCTTTCCAACCCCATTTGTCCAATCAGACCTCACCACTGTGTTTAGAGACCCCAAAAACCCCAACACACCAAATTTCATGACCAAATTCATCCATTTGACCATTAAACTAGAGAGATACCATTTTGACGCACAGTATTGAGTCGCCACATCAGCTGTCCAACCTAGCATCTTAAGTGGGAGGGGACTGACGTCATCTCCTTAACCCCCTTAAAACACCTGGACCAATGAATTTGAGCCTAATAGGCTTAAAAGGCTCAAAATGCCAAACATACCCTTACTTCAAATCAAGAAAAGACAAAATAGCAAGAAAACCCTAAGTTAGGGGGAGAAAAAGAAGGAAAGGAATCTTTACAAGAAGAGCCCATAGCGAACCAACCTGTAGTCACATTTCCAACTGCACTCACAGTCGAGCCGGTGCGAAAGAAGAAAGAGACCCGCAACAAGGAGAGCAGGGAAGTCCAGATTAACTTCCCTCTCCTCGACGCGATCCAACATATGCCGGCCTATGCCAAGTTCTTGAAATAGCTATGTACTCAAATGATGGAGCCACGATTGGCCCCGCAAAAAATGATGCTCTCGACAGATGTTAGTGCAAATCTCCTAAACCAACTTCCCCAAAAACTGAAAGATCCTGATGCTCCTCTCATAAGTTGTGTCATCTCTAGAATCACCTTT